TGCGCCAAAGATGAGCAACCTTTGCCACCCGCTATACTCCGCCAACCTCTGAAAAGCCTTACCAAAAAGCTAAACATCGCCAAATCGAGATGGTTCGAAATGCCTCTGGATTCTGGGCCTGCCTCTCATGTCCCGGTCTGTGGCATTGGCATTAAATTTGCATGCAGGGGTAAGCTTTGGCGCTATGGCTGCAAAACTGGAAGTCAATGTTAATAATGAAGGGATGGCAAGGAGGACTGTTAAGCGAGCAAAGGCTAGTAACATATCTGGGTCGGTTACCGGTGTCTGTGAGTAACTGATCTTTACTGGAGCGAGTCCCGGATAAGGATGACTCCGACGATCCTGTACTTACCTTGGGAACTTCTACTTGGGGTTCTCCGTTTCACCCAGCTTGAATACAGATATCAGAGCCAGTGCCACTGTTTGGTTTCGAGGTGTCCCTCACTTATCCTACCACTGCCGTAACTGGGGATATTTGACGTATTTCATTGGCTAAAATACTCGAGAATGAGTGATGCAATTATAGGAACTAGCAGAGTAAAAACCAGCGCCGTGATGTAGAGATAAATGAGTAAAACAAAAGTGAGCCCTGACAAACCAGTCCGTCTTTCCATTGGCCTTTTAGGTAGTGCTGCTCTGGAGTGTTTCTTTGATTTTCTTTCTTTTTTCCTTTTTCCTTTTCCTTTTTCTGGCCGGAGGGCGGATGGGCACGACAGCGTCAGACGTATCACATCATAGCAGAGCTCCCGCCGGGAGGCGATGTACTGTACTGTACGCTACCAGGGGAGGGAAAGTGTGGTCACAATAAGCTTCCCTTTCCAATATTGGTGGGAGCGGAGCTGCAGGTATGCGGTTTGGAGAGGGTGGAGATTGGCGTTTATGTGATTGTGGGTATGACATAGACTAATACTTGTTAATGGCGGGACATGATCATCATCCCCGGGAGGGGTCAGGTTTTCCGAGTTGAGTTTAGGAGAGTTGAGTTCGGGTTGGTGGATGATGTGGCAGGGATCTTACATTACTCGTACCAAGATACAGTATGATGATCCTAGACTACCCGTAGATTCGGCGGACTCGGCAAATAGTGATTTACTATACTAGTTCGAGGGACGTCATAGGTTATCGTGGAGGAACGTGCTCAGCACGACTTATCGAAATTCCAGCATTATCGATAGGTCTCGATAACGTAATTGCTGCGATATTGGTCACCGCTGACATTTACTGGATGACTATGAGCTAAAAAAAAGAAAAGAAAAGAAAAGAAAAGAAAAAAGAAAAAAAACTCCCTATAGAGGAAGGTATGATAAGTTACTATAGACAACAAATAGAAAATAAGGTGAGTTCTAGCAAACTGGTTTTTCAATTTCTAGAGTACTCGTAGGGTGCTGATATTATTGCGACAAAAATCGGCTCCGGGGGTAAGCGTGAGTGGACAAATGGGGATTATGAAGCACCTTGAATTTAGTGAGTATTCAGTTCCATAACTTGATGTTCAAGAACGGGGTTAATTTTTTTTTTTTTTTTTTTTTTGTTGGATTGGCAGTATTGTAGTCTAAAGCCCAAAAGAGAAAGACGGACTATGTGTATACCCCTCAGAACCCGAGAAAGCCATTTCACTTCTCCCGGACACAGCCACTCGACTTAGGAGAGGGCAATGAAATTGCTAGTATAGCCGTGGGCGAGCGTTTCTATACCACAGGGCTAGCACCACCAATGGCTCGACAAGTGATTGCTGCGACAACCCAATGATCATACCAGGCGTATTAAAAGCTGGGAGGATAATTTCTCGGTGAAGGAAAAACAAAGGAAGTTGCCTGAGGCTGCATTCTGTGTTCGCCAATGATATCCCCGTGTTTCGGGTAGCATGTTATAGTGTACCGAGGAGACTGGAGGTAAAGAGTGGAGGTTAGAACGTGTTCCCCCTTTTATATTATAGGCCATTTGTAAACCCTCCTCCCCTCCTCTTACGTCTTCATTGAGGCCCAATGGCTTTTTCTATACCGGGCTAGCTAACAGTGTCTGGTGATTTTACCGCAAGTTGCCATACTGTATCTTGTCGTATCGTCTTTGTTTGCTTCTAGGAATGGGCGCGCATGGAAGTCGGGAGGACGTCCCCGGATTTGTTCGAGAGCGTCTCCGTGAGTAGAGCTTTGCGTATGATGTATTCGTTCTCACATGCTGTATGAACAAAGGAGGAGCAAACCCCGCAGTGGCAAATAGGTAACCAGAGTTTGGTTACCTTGCGATATATAAGTTAGTTAGGTTCGCTATGAGCGAAGAAAGTAAGCAAGATATATTTCCTTCTCTCATTGCTCCTATTGCCCCCAACTCTCGGATGAAGATGATTGAAGAGTATTGGTATTGAAGCTTCCCCCTCACTTCTATCCCGCCAGCCCCTGGGAGCTGGTGGCTTCTTCAACACCACGAGTCTATCGACACAGCGAATTGAGCTGCCCACCCTGTCAATTCCTCCACCTCTTTCCAACCCCCAAACGGTTCTCCTACCTAAGCAAACCCTAAACTATGGTGGGTACAGATACGGCCACCCAATAGAAGTATTCGTGATCTAGGACCAATTTGCTGTGATTGCACAACAGGGGCCCGGGCGGTGGGAAGGGTAGTGGGATTACTGATTACTGGGTTGCATTGAGTATTTTCAACGATCGGCTGGCAAGAACAAGGGTCAATTGTATACTTACGAGAATGTTAAGAAGGTTGTAAATCAAATACCGGAATAGCAACCAAAGGAAACAGTACCAGTAGAAACTTGGGTAATTGGGCTATGTGCTGCGTCATTGGGCTTCCCCCGTGAGGTCAAGAAATTTTCGTTGTCATTTCCCTTTCGAATTAGGGAAATGGGGGGGCTGCTGTGTTTTTTTTCACGACCTTTCCAGAGAGCTGAATTTTTGACTCCATAGCATACAGCACAATTACTCAAGTTTATAGGGCGCTATCTAGTTGTTCAATGCCGCGAATAGCAAAGAAGAGGGATGTGACTGGGGCAAGGAATATCACCAAGTGACAGGAGCTCAGATGCAAGGACAAGCATACTTTTAACTGTTACCCGAGGCTGTCCAATAGTTTGAGCAACTAGGGCAATGTCCTGGAGGCAGTGGCAAAAGGCTAGCCATTCCTCTTTTGAATGTTTCTAGAGCTCTTCGCTATATACCCTGTGTTCCCAGACCAACCAGCCACTATTGAGCAGAAGAAGGATGGTGAAAAGCAGAATAATTGACCTGAACACTGGCGGTATTGTTTTGGGGCGTAAAAAAACAAAAAAACAATTAACTTCACGAGTGGCAATTCTTGTGAGACAGCTTCGTGATGTGAGAAACATGTTTTACCACCACTTCCCTTGAGTGGGCGTTGGGTTGGAATAGGAATTCAGACCCTTATAACTAAGGATTTTGGTTTTCCCACTTACTCATTGGCTAGCCAATCATTACAAGGCGGATATAGGCGGTTACCTTTCCCTTGAATAGAGACAAACAATGGAAGGGTTTGTGTATCCGTGGGGGTAGAGTATCCAGGAAGCCCCCTCCCTTGATCGCTTTTTGGGCTCTGCAAGTATTTCGATGTCCTGTACCAGTACGATTTGATGAGATACGTGAGTACTTCTAGTTTCAGAAAAAGAGTATGGTTGATGCCTTGAGCGCTTATTCAGGTGGTCAAGCACCGGTACTCTTGGCCCCACAACCGTGGAAATCCAACTCGAGTAACATGCTCAACTCCCGTACCGTATTAACTCAACAAATCGAGTAGCGCCTTGGGAGAGTCTGATCGCCCGATACGAATGGATCCGGGGAAGATCGTATAATAGGGACTTGAGGCTTCTCGATGAGAAAACCTTTTCAATACCATGCATTCCCGTGCATAACCTTTCGGATGCCATCCTTGCCCAAAACATACCATCCAAGAGACCTCACATAACAACAGCTAACGGCAAAATACTCACAGCCTGTCGGTAGTCCCCTTATTCCTCCAATGACCTAGATAGATTAAGAAAAATGGAAGCAACACCAAGCATACAAGTATCATACTTTTCAAAAATTTCCCCACAATTTTTGAGAGATCCTAACCTAGGGAGAGGGTTTTCGGCCTTCTCCTGGCTCAACTCACCACTTCAAATGCACCACTTTTTAGGTGACGCCAGACAAGCACACATAGATCTTTTCTGACCGTGAAAAATATTAAAAATATAACTGGTCATTACATCTGTCTGGCTCTCTTCCCCAGCTTACTTTTTCGAGTCTTTCTTTGCCGTTTTATAAAGAGCCAGGAGGGACAAATTCATTCTATCAGAAAGGTTTCACTTTTCGATGATATACTTCCCGGCCGATGGTATCCGAAAGGGTTGTTGCCAAGCGCACTGTATTGAAAAGGTTGACCCAATCATACTTGCAGATAGCTCCAGTCTCGGCACATGAATTGTGCATCCATCAGCTCTTCTTCCTCCTCCCTACATCCATGGCGTTGATTTATCATAGGTGAACGACCAGGTCGTTCCCCTAACTCACTCCGTGTATGACCGGATACACGATGCGTTACCGGAGGGAGAGTAACAGCAGCGATACCAGCTCTACTACTTCGGTGGATGTGGCGTCGATTTCTCAGCTCTAAATTGGGGATTTTCACACTCTGTTCATTTGCAAAAACATATAAATCAGGGATATTTCCTCTCTCAATATGTGCACTATCCACGCCATGGGTTTACATTCTACTGCACCTAGCGCAAGATAACTCTACACTATAATTAAACCTTACATTTCACCTCTTTCAAATGTGGCTTAACGACTTGTTAGAACGTGTTGAGGCCAAGCGCAGGCCAGAAGTGTTTCATCCCGTCATTGAAGAATTCAAGGACCTGATCGAGAATGACCCGATAATTTATATGCTCTTTCACCAAATGTTCAGTCAGATACCCGACAAACCACCATTTGATAGAGATCCAAATGGCAATCCACAAGTACGCGACTACTTCACGATGCTAACATGCTTCAACGCGATCATGACCTCAGCACCCGAATACAATAAGGGCCTTGGCCTTGTCGGATTCCCTATCAACGCCATCATTAATTGGCAAATGGGCACTCCGAGCGGCGTCGCAGCATTTCTGAACGAAAAGGTCAACGCACAGGTCGGCAAGATGCTCAAGGAGTGGGCAAGGTTCCTTGGCTCCCCAGAATCGAGATATGTTCTTACCAACAATTCGGAAAGAGGTTGGTTCGGGCCAGCAGCATTAGCTGAAAAACAAATGCATAACTTCGATAAAACTTTCAAGTGTCAACCCTCCGAGCCATACCACGGCTTCAAATCCTGGGACGACTTTTTCACAAGAGAGTTTCGACACGGCGCACGGCCCATTGGAGCACCGGACGACGACCGATTCATTGTCAACGCATGCGAATCCGCGCCATATAACCTTCAGAAAAACGTTCAGGAACGAGACCTCTTTTGGGTCAAGGGTCAGCCGTATTCGATCAAACACATGCTTGCAGGCGACTCCTTTACCCCTCTATTCGTTGAGGGTACTGTCTACCAAGGCTTTCTTGATGCCCTATCCTACCACCGATGGCACAGTCCTGTCACCGGCCGTGTGGTTAAGGCATATATACAGCCCGGAACATATTACTCGGAAGCCACGACGGCCGGGTTCGACGAGGCGGCACCGAATGGGTCCCAAGGATACCTAACTGAGGTAGCCACTCGAGCGCTCGTATTCATTGAAGCCTATAATCCTGATATTGGATTGATGTGCTTCATGGCAGTCGGCATGGCAGAGGTCTCGACCTGCGACATTGGAGTACAAGTGGGGCAGCAGGTTAAGAAAGGCGAACAGCTGGGGATGTTTCATTTCGGAGGGTCGACCCACTGTCTCATTTTCCGCAAAAGCGTGGATCTCGTATTCGACCTCCCATGTGAGCCCGGGATGGATGCTAGTATCGTTCCTATAAACAGGTCTATCGCGTTTGTTCCTTCTAGGAGGATAAATGCAAAGTTGTAATTTCCCCCACTCGAGTTTTTTTTTTTCCTCCCCGCTTTAGTAGGACGTTCAAAAAGGGTTTTCCCTTCCATTTGAGCGAAATAATTTGTATAGTGGTTACTAGGATTTTTTCATTCCTTTTTTGGAGTATGATATGATAACCAAAATGTTCAAATCCTCTCTCCTTTGGGTCGGGGGTTCCGGCGCACAGCGCCATCGCGGACGGACTTCCGTCTCCCCGACCCCACGAATGGCTACGGCGAAGAATGTGAAACACCGCGAATTATGACATCATACACATATCATAGAACTCGTAGTAAACGGTGAGATTTCGCATTTCCTCCAGTGAGTCAATTCAGTGAGTCCCAGAACACATCCCAAACAATATGGCAACTAAGCACTCTGCCTCCCACATAGCCGACCCACACTCTAGAAACAGAAAATAGCCCCGACAAAAACTCCATCATACCATCCCCGATCCTCCATAGGGCAACCCACGAAGCCAAACGCTCCCCACCATATCATACACACGGCACCCATGCAATGCAAGATCACACACCAGCCAAGTAATAACCCCACCTATCGGCCAAGCCCCCCCCAAGAGCCAAACCAACAATCAACTCCCCATCCGTACTGCACGGCGTGGCGCTCGAGTGGCGAGGATGTACGGGTGGCTGCCTTAGACAATTTTCGCAGAGGTGGTCAGCGGGGTGGGGTTAAACTTATAGTGATAGGACTAGTAGCCAGTGGGGGCAATGGTACAGCATAAGGTAGGCCAGGAAGTCCTCTGCTATCGAGAAGAATTGCACCTTGTGGTATCCTACCCACCCCTACACATGTATGGCACTGCGCAGCACTATGGTGTAATGCAATGGATTCCAGATGAGACCGGACTGGACCGGGCGGATTTCGCGGAGGGTGGGCGCCGAGACTGGATTGATGGATGGACGGGGTCATTGGCGATCACTCGGGGGTGGCCTGGCGGTACAGATGGAATCACTGTACGCTGTTAGCTAACTTATTAGATTTTGGGGGTGTAATGGAGTATTTACTGGTTGTGTGTTGAATTTTCCTGCCGTACCTATCAGGGCGACACCTCACCGAGAGACCTTACTGAGTATCACATAGTCGGGGTTATTTAGAGTTATCAGGATGACTTTTTCTGTTAACGAGTGGACATGGGAAGTTGCGCTGGGTCACTTCACCGCCTCAGTTGGTAGTTTCCACACATTTTTGGTATAATAGCATAGCATATTTGAATGCCCCCTAGGTATCATAACTGAAGGCGAAGCGTAGAGGTTGAAACAGATGTTACCAATATTGCAAAAACATTGTATTGGCTAACAAAGAGTTAATGATAAGACTTCCGCTGGAGAAAGTGGATATCATAGCCGTCTCTGTGATACTTTAGGATCTTGTTTCGGCTTTTTTTTTGCACCACGTATTATTATTGAGTCACGATGTTCAACGGAATCTACGGAAGACTCTCAAAATGCCCCAGAGAATAAGGACGAGCATTTAATATGCCATAAATATATACGGTGTCCTCTAAAGCCAGGAGGGGCTGTTTTTTTGTTTTGTTTTTCCTTCAATAACAATGTTCACCCGAGTCCTTTGTGCGCGGAACAACCTCAAAAACCACTGCGTCCAAGAGTTCTCATGGAAGTGGATAATAACTATAATTATTTCCAGTAGAGCATAACAAGGTTCTCGTATCGGTTACAGCACAAATAGAATACTCTTAAAGAACTAAGTTACCATATTGCATCGTATTGGGAGACAAAAAAACATTAGGCGCAACTCCTACTAGCACAATGCTGTCATCTAGGCCTAGGGAGGACTGCAGTACAGGCATTGAATTGGCGAGTGGCAGCGCTAGTCCTCCGGAAGTTGCCTCTTCACTCAAAACTGTATCAACCGAGCGGGATCCGGAGGTGGCAGTCCAGTTGCGCGGTGCATGTCAGACTCTTGTCGCTGCTCGAGAGCGTATTCCGAGAGTTTTTCCGTATCGTGGAATTTATCGCAGTCAACTACAATAAGTTACAGGGTCCCCGCCGAACCGGCATGTATCCCCTACGGGATTGGGTCCCAGTATTAGCAATCCGACATGCACACCTCCGCCCATGCAGCGGTATGATACTATACATTTGGAAAGTATCACCTGTTCAGACCGCAGTAAGACAGCGCCGTTATGGTACCATGTCCCGAACGGGGTACCGCACTGCGTCGGTGAGGTCATCCCATCGGCCGACCAACGGGGAAGAAGGTCACGGCCGGGACACGGTGATACCGAGCAGGAAGAATAAATCTGGTGGCGTTCTGGTAAATTAATTTCTGTGCCAGTTACTAACCTACTTGACCTTGGTAAATATGATATCATACCTGAGAAAAAGGTATTATAAAGCAAGGTAAGGTAACGGTGAGTTGACTGTTTCTGTGTATGATACTCCAAGCTTATCGTACACACAATAACAAAGTAAGCTAAGTTTTTTCCACGTTTTTGACTTTGAATACCCATAGTAGAGTAATACGGCAGAGTTCTATTTCTTCCCTCCTTGAATACCAGAGCTATAGAATCGTCATGAACATAGCAGTGAATTATCATACACCAAGCGCTTCCCATACCCACCCTCCCCAATTAGAAACCCCCTATCGTACAAACATGTCCGGAAAATCCAGAGGCAAAGTCTAACAAAGAGAAAAAGACCGACTCCCCCCCCCCCACTTCCCCGGCACACAAAGAGAGAAAGAGAGAAAGCAACACCCACCCCATCCACACTGAGTGGGGAGCCACAACAGACAAATTTAACCATGCTGGATGTAAACCCGGGAGAACCATACAGCTTTGGCATATAATCCCACGGATCTTGTGAGAGATTTCCCGCACCCGTGGTAGTATCAGTCCTTAAGGAGATACCTATACAGAACCTATTTCCAGGGGTCCCTGTTTCGTCGGGGCAATCCAATAAATACTTATTGACAACCCGTCACGAAAAGCTCCAGGGTAAAAACTCATGATCCATCGGTGGGGTCGGATACCATGCAATGAGTGGACATGTGGTGTCAGAGTTACGGTACTTTTTTTATTTTTGCAGGGCGAGTGATACACCGTGATATAGATTCCAGTGTCAGGGGTCTCGGAAATTAATAGGATCAAATTTAAAGAAAGAAAAAGACCACTAGCGTTCCGAAATTTCCACTAGAACATGATTTCACAAGCGATGCCACCACTCGCTCCCCCTCGCATATAACTTATAGACAGACTGTCGCCGACAACGGTCATCCTCCCGAAGGGTGTCGATGCCGGCCCGTCTGTCAAAATGAACAGCCGAAATGGCTTGTGCAGTTAGCATAGCGCAACTATATCCCACACATGCATGTCCTTCCTGCCATCTTTAGATCTAACGGTGCGATACAGCGCTACAACCTTCCACTTCCAAATCCCCATCCGGAGTCAGGGCAATGGCTGACATACGGACACTGGGCACGAGGGATAAATTAACCACCCATAGTACGTCTTTTCTCTAATCTCGGGTTTTCGGGTTTAGCACGGCGCGCCAGCAAGGTCCACCGCATCTAATTGGATGATTACATGGGGATGTCCATGTTGAAAAGAGGTTGGGATAGAACCCGATACCATAGATTGGAAAACGAGATGGAAACGGGACTGCATTTGTACTCGTACAGTACCGCAAATCCTTTTTTTGGGCCCTGTTTGGCGTGTCGCGATATAAATATATCGTGATAAAAGTTGAAAATAGCATATATTCTAAAATAAATATTTGCCATATTTTCACTGTAAAATTGTGTTAGAAAGTGAAATATTGCAATAGCCTTGTGCGCATCGAACACCCCCCAAATAAAAATTTGGAGTTTACAAAAATTATGGCATAAAAGTCGCTCTTATGCCATGGGAACGGTGTGAACAGGGACCAAAAACAATATATATTATTATGCCAAAGCTCTCACTCATTGCAAATTTCGATCCCTCCTCCTATCAGACAAGCTCCTCACTACTCGCATACGCCAGTAGTGAGCAACTCACGAGGTGATTAAAGCCCCAGCAAGGCCCGTCTTCTCAAACAATCCTCGCACCAATTAAAACCCCCACAGAGCCCACCAGACAGTCGACACGCGCCCCAAGGGGAAGCAAAGGAAAGAAAGGAAATATCATATATAAAAATTGAAAATTCCAGTTTCCGGAGAAATGGGAAAAACACCTCCCACCCGGGAATCCCCTCTGCCCCATCTCGGGTACCCTTTTCCTATAAACCCCCATTGGTATCTCCCACGATGCTCGAGCACTATCGAACCTTGGGGGGGGAACCGTTCATTCCGCCAAGGGCATAACGGGGCCCAGTGCCCCTACTCGCCATCGGGAAGGAGGATCGTACGGACTTGGCACCGCACCGCTAGGATACCCGGATGCTGAGAAAACCAGGCTTTACCATGGGCGGCGCACGAGCCCGGACTGCTACTTCACGCCACAGCGGCGCGTCCCAGTAAATCAACTGGAGGGCTCTTTAATGTCTTAATAAGCAAAAATAGTAGGAAGTGTTTATGATATTGCTCAGAAGCGGGGAAAGCGGCGTAGTTTTGCCAAAGATTCCAACACGAGCAGTAATCATATCTGCTTTCTATCGGCGAATTTTGAGTCCGACATGCCTACCATCTAGAGAAACACTGGAAATCAAAGATACAGTATTCCCAATACCTTTACGCCAAGTATCTGCTCTTTGGTAGGGTCTTGGCATTAAAGTGCCAGGATACTTGTGAAATCCACATGTACGATACTCGATTCAGGAAAAATGGTTAATACTACCCTACCATGCTTTCCCCTTCTCTAGAAGGAGTTCTACGGTATCGCAGCCCCGGCTCGAAAAACGCGGCCCAACTCCTTCGATCATCCTTTGATATGATATAGCCACCTCCCCCTTTCCTTGCGACATTGCTACAGTCCCTACAGCGTTTCCCTACATAGTGAGCGCCGGCTTACAAAATGCTTTGAACTGTGGTCTAAAATCCCACAACCCATGGAAGGCGAGCAAATAGGTGGTGTTTGCTCGCTATACCGGGGGCTCGCCTCACAGGGAAACATTGTACAGTACAATTACTCTGTAAGACCCTTCAGCAGAACCCAAAAGGAGTTTACACCGATGTTTCTCTTGGGATTGATGCCCAGAGATGATGTGCACGATGGGGCGGAATCTTGATATCCGCAGGGTTTACTATAAACGCTAACCAATACAGTGATTCCTACAAGTTATGATGCTCACAACTCAAAAAGGACGCCAGCCAGTCACATACCGCACCATTATACCAGAATATCATTCCGGGTAAGCGCGAGTATGGGGTATAGTCCGGTTGGGTTGAGCGCGCCGCGCATGTACTTTTCTGTACAGTAGGGCACCAACAGGGGGGGAGGGAGTGCATTAATTGTTCAAGAACTCAATTTCTTGTGAGTTTGTTTTGCCCCTTCACCTCACTTTCTCCCCCTTCCTTCTCCTTACCACACTCGCTTTCTTACAAAATATTCTGCATTTCAGGATGCTACGACGACTCGCAGTTGCGATGCTAGCACTCGCCGGCCTCGTGTCGGCGAGAGGGCCTGTAGATACCATGAGACGACATGCGGAGCTGGTGAGAGGAGCAAAGCTTGATGTGAGAGATGCTCCGAACTTTGGGGTCGATAAGAGAATGCCCAAGTCCAGGTATTATAATAGAGATACCGCTAGTGTGTTTTCCTCAACAATGCTCCTATCCGAAGTTGCTTGCCCATTCAACTGACATTTCATAGAATACTGGGTCAATGGGAAGAAGATTCCCGACGTAGATTTTGATATTGGTGACTCGTATGCAGGGCTTATGCCCATTTCGAAGGATAAGAACGAGACGAGAGAGCTTTATTTTTGGTTCTTTCCCACGACGGGTACGGTTGATGACGAGTTGGTTATCTGGTTGAATGGTGGTCCCGGGTGCAGTAAGTGCTTTTCAAATCTATGAATATTAATAAAAAAGTGGTTTGGTGGTTGACGAATCCGTGAAGGCAGTCTCGAAGGATTCCTGCAGGAACACGGACCTTTCTCCTGGTAAATGGAATCCCCCTCCCGATCAGCTCACACAGGATATTGACACAAGCTGCGAACAGGAGATATGGAACCTACAAACCAGCCCGTAATAGGTATTCATGGAACAACCTCACAAACATGATTTGGTTAATCCCCCAAGTTGACCGATCCCACGGAGGCCAATCTAACGAGTATCAGGGTCGAGCAACCTGTAGGAACCGGCTTCTCCCAAGGTGTTCCCGATGCAACCTCAGAAGAAGACGCTGCAGAGAAATTCCTCGGCTTTCTCGAGAACTTTATCAAAACCTTTGGCTTTGAGGATAAGAAGATCTACGTAACCGGGGAGTCCTACGCAGGATACTACGTTCCATACATTGTGGACGCAATGTACAGCAGGAACAACAAAACGCTCTTTGACCCCCGAGGCCTCATAATCTACAGCCCCACCCTAAGTGAATGGGTGATCCACGAGCAGATCCCTGCGGTCCAGTTTGTGGACTATTGGGCCCACCTGCTTGCCCTAAACAAAACTACTATGGACCACCTTCATGCCACGGCCGATAAGTGCGGGTACACCAGCTATCTAAAAGAGAACCTGGTTTTTCCTCCAAAGGGCTCACTCCCGACTCCCCCGCAGCTCAACACATCCACGGAATGTGACGTCTGGAGCGCTATTTTCGAGTGCCCCCCCCCCCCACATATTTCCCCACCCCGTCAGGTGCGGACAGAGCTAACAGAACCGCAGCGCCGCCCTCTTGGTAAACCCTTGCTTTAACATTTTCCACATCACCGCAACCTGCCCTATCCTCTGGGACGTCCTCGGATACCCAGGATCCTTCGTCTACCTCCCCGAGGGCGCAGAGATATACTTCAACCGCACAGATGTGCAGAACGCTATCAATGCCCCACATGTGAAATGGCAGGAGTGCTCCGAGGGGGTGTTCCCCAATGGAGACCCCAGCGATCCCCCCAACTTCTCAGTTCTACCGCGTATCATTGACAAGAATGAGAGGACGATTATAGCCCACGGGCTCTTGGACTTCAGATTCACTGTGAATGGGAGCTTGTAAGATGCACGCCTTAGGGGTAGGGAAAAGCGCAAAGTGCTAATGAAATGCAAATGTGATACCGATAGGTTGGCGATTCAGAATATGACCTGGGGCGGGAAGCGGGGATTTCAGACCAAACCGGTGGAACCGTTTATCGTGCCGTATGACAGCCAAGGAACCATGGGAGTCCAGCACACTGAGAGGAAGCTGACGTATGCTATCCCACACCCACACACAAACTTGATACCTTGCTAACGATCCGTAGGTGGGTGGAAATTGAATCGTGCGGCCACATGGCCCCACAATTCCAGCCTGGCGCCGCTTACAGGCAGTTGGAGTATCTCCTTGGTAGAATAGATAAGCTCTAAGCCAGTGGGCAGGGCAGGGATGTAGATAGGCACATTGCAAGAAACGGCGCAAAATCACTATGTGTCACTCGGTACATTAATCAAGGATATCTGATACGGGCTTTGGGTTGTACGATGCTATGAGGGGATCCAATAGAACCAGTAACCACCTAGTGTTAGCTCGCTAGATCTGTTTGATCTACCCCCCCCCCCCCCATTACCAATCCTCACCTGGCCCGTGCCCCCTACTCTACCGTCACCCACACAGCAACAAGCATCCATGAACCGCAGTAACATCCTTCTATCATACTGTACCGACCCATCTCACCCACAGCAAACCTTACCACCATATCACATCTAGCAAAGAGAAAAAATCTAAACTTTACCCAACCATATCCCCGAAATCTATTTTGTGATCGCAAAACGAAAGCAAACGCCATTTAACCCGCTAACTTGAGACGCTTTCAATACCCCATAGCAATTGTGGAAAAGGAGAAAAAAGAGAAAAAAGAGAGAAGGAATAACACCACGATATTGCGGCAACAAACTCATTTCCCACCATCTTCATTAACCTCCGCCTCATCGGTCAATCCTGATACCGCCTCATCGATCAATCCTGATACCGAGAGTACCTTCTTGCCTTTGTCAACCGCGGGGACAGATGCAGCGGCGGGAGTGGCAGGAATGGCGGGAGTAGCGGATGAGGGTGAAGTATTGGTGTCATTAGCGGTAGGAATAGCAGCGGAAGGAGAGCCAATCTCGGAGGACTTCCGGGAGAGTAATTTTACGAAGGGTGATGAGGGCCTTGTTCGTTCCGGCCTGTCACTCATCCCATACCAATCAGCAATAGATATGGAACGGGAAAAGGTTAAGAATACACACATAACCTCCCCCCCCCCACCGCTGCCGCTACTAGTATTTGAACTAACAAACAACAACAAATACTTCAAATTCGGCAACGTATGTCGGATATCCATGACCCACAGTCCCTGCGAACTCATCAACTGCTCGAGGTCCTTGTTTAGCAAAAAGATTGCATACTCGAAGCGGAAATAGACGCTCCCCTTCACCCACAGCGGGAATGTGCGCGCGCCAGCAATGACGGAGATGGGGTCGCGCACGAAGGAGTTGCTGCACTGTGGCTGTAGCGGATATCGCAGGTACGTTCCCAGGTAGAAGGAGAGGAGGTAGGCGACGTGCGCGACGTAGCCGAGCGCGGCAGAGATGGCATCTGCGTCCGCGTCTTCGTGGTGTGAGTTTGGCAGTGGGAGGGAGCGGATGGTGAAGCTTAGGGGGTGGTTTGGTACCTATAGTTTTCCTTATTAGCCAGTTAGTTGATGGGGCAAGGGGGGGGAGGGGGAGGACAGGCTCGACTGGGTAGACCGTTTGTAAATCTTCCACTATACGCCGGCGTTGGGTTTCTATTCCCTTTTTAGTCTCTCCTAGGTCTTTCTTGCAACGCTCGAGGCCGACGGCCGCTTCCCTAAGATAGTTCTCTCCTGTCCTTTGCGCCTCCCGCCCAGCCGCCATTGCCTCGCGACGCACCTGTAAGCTTTGCCGCAGAGATTCTCGCTTCCTTATCGCTGCGTTCAGGCGCTTCTTCTCCAAGGCCAAATAACCCTGTAGTGTTTTCCTGGACTCCCGTGCTTGGGAGGCTTCTCGAAGGAGTGACATTGAACTGGATTCTCGCTCTAGGATTGCGTTTATCTGGTCAGAGACTTTAGCGCTTGTTTGTTCGGCATCTTGGATGCAGTCTTCTAGGTTGTTGAGTTTCATTATCGCGTCATAGGAGGCGGTGGGCTGAATGGATGGATAGATGTGTTAGTTTAGCTGGGCTATGAAGGATTCGTCGGAGATCTGGCTGATACACACGATTAGGTTATCCGCAGCGGAGGCGATGGAGCGAACTGAAGCCGACGACGCATGTCCACGAATTGGCAGCTCCCTGTGCGAAGCGGGGGAAGAGAGCGGCATGTCCATAAAAGTAGTATAGATCCCATCCGATAGGAAAAATATGACGGAATTTGTAGGAAATGGGTGTCTAAAGTTCTCCAACTACACACACCCACTTCCAATTAGCCCCCACAAGGTTCCGGTGATGAGTGAACAACAAGAAACAAGAAAGAAATCCTGCGACAGGGAGAAAAAATAGAGTTGGAAAGATGAATTTTGATGAACATTTTTACCAATAAACTGCAGAGCCGAGAGCGCGATGTTCAGCTCGAGGATTAGCCGGAATTGCGACTGAGTGCCGACCCATATCTTTACAGTAACCTTATCCAACCTGGAAACGTGCGGCCCACTATGCGACAACTCAAAGAATTGAAAGCTCGGATTCTATAAACCCCCTCTTCTGTAAGCTCTACTTCCAAGACTCCCCGGGCCACAAGCTCCATACCATAGATTTTGACACAACCTCACTGATATAGATCGGATCCTCTAATCACTATTAGCGCCCTCTTTTCCCACCGCATAATTCTAGTAGAACACTGACCACCACTACCAACTCGATCCCCAACATGTAACGAAAAGAACACGTCCGCCATTCTCCCTGCCGCAACATCCTCAAGCCTCTTCTGCCTTGTCATTGGGCTCTCCAGACCCAGTGGATTTCCCCTCATGCTCCGGCGCCGTAGCCGTCCACCGGACCTGACATCAACGCCAACTTCCATGTCCACATCCGCCTTCGTGAGGTCCATCTCGGACTTTGCATGAATCAGTCCCCCACCGCTACTACTGCTACTGCCACCAGCCAATCCCTCAACCTGCACCGGTCGCTTCCCCGCCGACTTCCATGCTCCGGCCAAAGCGTCGTCGTCAGAGGACTTTGTGACGCGGGTAGATTGCGCTTTCTGCACCGAGGTAGTGAGGTTTCGGAGGGCGATACCGGTTAGGTGGCGGAGTTTTCTGCCCTGTTTTCCCACACATGGTCAGCTCCAGGGAACAGGTTGAAGTAGAAGAAGGTTATATGCACGGATGGTAGTAGCAGCGGGCACTCGCGGGGGGTGGTTCCGATTCCCAGTGCGAAATCTATGTTTAGGGTTCTCAGGCCATCGCTATCGGATGGCATGATAGTGCCTTTAAGGAGCGCTGTGGTAGTAGTTGAAGACAGGATGGGCAAATTAGTGTTGTTGTGGGAGGGATAGGTATAGAGTTCACCGTCTCCGTTACTTGTGTGTGTGGAATGGGGTTGGATGTTCAAATAAAGTTGCAAGCGTGCATGACGCTATCCATGATGGCTGGTGTGACCCGATTAGGTTACCGTACTTGTAGAAGCTGCAATGATTGGGTCTCACACTAAGACATCAGAGTCACCTATCCTGCCGGCAGTGAGGTCTGCCGTATTTTCTTTTTACTTGTCACAGGGTTAAAAAGCCAGTTTTTTTCTGACCTTTTTTTCACCCTATTTGCACCCTAATCCAAAGAGAGCAATTATTGACGTCTTGGCATGAGACCCAACCATTCCCCATACGGAAGTGGTCCTAGGCTTTTACCGAGAATTTTTTATCCTCCTCTCCGCCAAACGATAATCGAGTATGATACCAGATTCCCTCAAGCCCCTAAAACTACAAAAGACTTGTAAATTCACTGCGTCAGGGCAACAATAACAGGTCACCTCAGCTGTTTCCAGCGGAGAATTTGGACCAACAATTGGCGTGAGACATTCTCCCCATTTAATATAATAGAATAGCACCAGAAATCCTCAAGCAGGAGGAACACATGATATTACACCCTACTCGTACAAAACCCCCACATCCCCCGCATATCATACCACGAGAGATGCTACTTTACATACCCAGACCCTATTCCCTATGCACCCGGTAAAACTCCACGATAGGATGGAAAGGAAGATAAGACAAAGACAAAAATAAAAACACATGGGTTTCCTCACATGCAAAAAGCATAATAGAAAAGTAAATAAAGTGATATAGGAAAATACAATCAACGGACAACCCGTTTGGTAGAAGAGAAAAAAAAATAATAATAACCAGAGCAAGGCCCTCAGAAGTACACCAGAATTTAGAAACGATCGCCCGCACCAGTCAGAATAGATGTAATGCAGAAAACAAGTAAGCAGATATCACCAAGATCAAAATAAGCATTTGAGGAGTAAAGAGTGGTGTCGCAACCGACATTAGCTAAGAACGTAATTTCCCAATGGCAATGCACTGTCGGTAACAAAAGGGAAGGACAAAACAAAGCAAAAGGGAAGCAAAACAAACCAAGGCAAAAAAACGAAGAAGAATAATACTACCAACGTTGAAGAGCGAACAACGTAGAGCGACTTTTTGGAAGAAAAGACACCATAAAAACCGTAAAACAAAATAAAACCACCAATCTCTTTGTTCCTTTTTTTTTGACCACCAAAGTCACTCCATCTGAGATGGCGACCAACGCTCATGGGAGAGGATGACGGGATCTCTGCCAAGAGTCTGTCGACTTCGTCCAAAGCTAAGCATTGGTCTGATCACTCAATCCTGGGATCTCCCACTCCTTCAACACCATTACTTCATCCTCGACCCTTGTCCTCCAACCTCGCCATTCAAGGACTTTCATCTCCGTATTGCCCGAACCACGAGCTCTCCAGCACCCTCCTAATATCCCACCTCTCCTCAGGCCGTATCGCAAGGCAACCTTTCACCACCTCAAGGACATCCCGTGAGCTCCCGGCTTCAGCTAGACCCCTGCACTTCCTCAGCTTCTCCTCGCCATATTCACCACTCAAAATCTTATTCATCAGTTTGGGCTGAAAGTTATGTGAGAATGGCAGGCTTCCTGTGTGCAGCACGTAAACCACAACGCCGAATGCCCATATGTCCACTGCAGGAGTACAATGTGGTGGGCAAGGAGAGGACGACAAAGTGTCTTGACCTGATATCATCTCGGGGCTTGCGTATTCAAGGGAGCCCATCAGCGAAGTAGTGGTCGATGGGAGGAATGCAGAACTGGTTGATGCAGAGGAAGACTTTCTGGGACGTCTCACAGTGTTGAAGTAAAGACCACCATTACTGCTGTCATCATCGTCTTCCTCGTCATCTTGGCACTTGATAAACTCCGCCATTCCAAAATCACAGAGCAACAAGTTTCCCCCCTCATCGCTACCGACCGACATATCCACAAGGCAATTTTCTAGCTTCACATCTCGGTGCACGATGCGCATGTCCTCATGAAGATATCTCAACGCACAGGCAAGCTGGAAGGAGTATTTTTGTGCCAGTCTTGCGGATATTCCATGGCGGTTTGCCTTGACCAGGTCGTAGAGGGATCCGCCCTTAATGAGTTTTGTGAAAGCAAAGGTTGCAAAAGGGGTATCATAGACAGCAACAAGCGGCAGTATATGGGGGTGTGAAATGCATCTCCATAGCGACACTTCATGATCAAAGTCCGCCTGAACTCTGTCATTCTCACAATCAACCTCACGCGCTTTCTTTCGAACGATTTTCACCGCCCGCTTAATCTCTATGCCTCCTTCTATGGTAATAGCCTCCTTGACTACACTAAACCCACCATAACCGATCTGCTTTCCAAGGACGTAGGAGCCTACCTCCTGACCCTCAGAATCGGGTTCAACAGGCTGCGCACCACTATTGTTGAGACTATTTAGGAACTAGGTTTATTTCGGTCAGCAATTCGAACCATCATGCAGACGGGAACCGGGTCACTAATATAGAGTGAACTTACTAGGTTTGCTGGGCTTAGTTGTGAGGATCCCCCATACCTAGGGCTAGCAGATCGATCGCTCTGGGCTCGCCTAGACCGTGACCTCGGCTGAGACTCGAATGTGTAAGACTTGCTTCTCGCAGAGTGTCCGATTGCACGAGTGGGCCAGATGGGTGAGTCACCCTGGAGACGATCGTTGAGCGGTGAACCAGTGAACGGTGAAGGGAAAAAGTCTCCAAAAGCATCCGATTGGGGGGACGGGGTGTAAAACTCATCGGAAAGTGGAGACATGGTAGAATCCGATGTCAGGGAGGCGACTCGCTCAGAGCCATGATCCTGACCATCCAAAGGTGGCGAGAGGAACCGACGGGTAGAGACAAAACGCTCACGGATTGAGCCATTTCCATTCCTGTATCTTGTAGAGCCCTCTCCATAATGAGAGTCTTGCTCTGACCAAGTGAACGAACGAGCTGGTGGTTGTTTGTTTTCGAAGTATTCTCTTGTTGCCGCGGAATCTGGTTTGATTGGTTTCGGAAGGTGTGAGCGCAAAGGAAAGCATTTGCCACCATCAGCCTTGACATGAGTATCAAAGGCAATAGATGACTTTCGTGCCCGGTTTGCTTGTTCGATGGGTGAAATGAAATCGGGATCCCTGAAAGTTCCATCCTCAACTCCTCCTCCTCCATTACCAATATTCCCAAGCGAATCCCCTGAGCCAATATCTATCCTCCCGGATGAGGATGCCTGTGGCATAGAGATGGGGGAGCTGGTCGTATGGCCATTGTGCGAGCCGACGAGGGAAACATTTCGAGGGGAATAATTTGAGGAGGAATCGGTGGAGGAACCAGAGCGAGCAACCGAATCGAAATTCAATCTACCAAACCTGGGGTGAGCATTGGCCAAGCGGTCCATCGCATGTGCGATATTGCACTGTGACGGAGTGTGTGACGGTGAAAGGTTGTTGTTGTCCCCAGCGGTAGAATTACGTACTCGTATGTAGGTGCAGCGTTTAAAAAAGGTCGACGGGGGGGCTTAATTCTGTCCCAGAGTCCGGTAGCGGCTACAGGGTTTTGACTGATAGCAACCAAGCACGGGACAGAAAAAAAACACCGGTGGTCTATTACGATGCGTCGCTAAAGAGACACAGTAAAAGAAGAAAACACTCAAAAAAGTATGACAGTCTGGAGGGACAGGTATAGACGAAGGGATGGGGGGAAGTGAAAAAAGGGAAAAATGTGGGAGGAGGGGAGAGTAAGTAGACGGAGATCAAAAGACAAGAGGGCGGAGCGCCCCGGATGTATGGCGGGGAGAGTAGGAGAAAGAGTGGATGATATGGAGTCAAGCTAGCAGAAACGAGTAAACGAAGGAGGGGGGGGAGCCGTCAATTTGTGTGGTGTGGTGTGTGGTTACAAAAGGCTATGTGTAATGGATAGACCAACACGATGATTTCTTCCGGAACCTCAAAAAGAGTGTGAGTGAGGAACGATGCAAGAGATGTTGAAAAAAAAAAAAAAATACAGACAAAGAGATGAGCCCCTTCAACCAAGGAGGAGCGGTGTAGGTGGGCAGAGAAGGGGAGGGAGGGGGAGGGAGAGGCAGATACGGGGAAGGAAAGGCTATAATGCAAAAGTGCGGTAGAGAGAAAGAACCACAAAATGGAATGAGAGAAAAGGAAGGATTGAAGGAAGGGCCAAAAGATACAAGGACAGAAGAAGGGTGAAAGCAGTAGGGTTATGAAAAACAAACGCGAGATCTGTTGACCAAAATACTGTGCCCGTACTCGAGTACTGTACAGTACAGTACCAGTATGCAGCGAGCGAGGCCAACGAGTGATGCTAGCAGACCAGGTAAGAAAGAAGTGAGAGAGACCCCGAGAGGGCCAGTTAGTCAAACAAGAGAGACTGACGCTAGTCTACCGGTAAGCAGGCCAAAATCATTGTCAAGGTTTCACTCTTCAATACCAGTATTGCCCTTGCGCAGCCAGGACACGCCCCGAGAAGCCAAGTCTCTCTCTCCCTTCCAACCTTCCCCTCTCCCCAAAGGGAAAAAAAAAAGAATGAAGCGAGAAGCCTGACCATAACCTATGTTGACCCCACAATTAGATTTTTGCACTAAAACTCAACTTCCCACCCCCGTCCAGTTTAGACTCGTCCCCCCCCCTGTTCAATCAGAATATCTGCGGGCTCAAGGGAAGGGACAACCCTTCGGTTGGCTGCCGTTGACGGGGATGAGGCTTGGTTCTCACTGTGGGGGTCCGACACTACGAGCACTCGTACACGATTTGCATGGGTCTCAGGATGGGGGTCTCTCCATATGATCTACCGGCACTCGAGCTACGCGTGTCCTACCTGTCGAGAGGAGGGAAAGAGCATGCTTTTGAAAACAACCAGAGAAAATGGAATAAAAAAGGTGTGGTCAACAGTGGAGCCAAGCTGGTTCGGGGATCACACCTCTAAGAGTACTATATACAGTATGAGCACTCGAGTGCAGGAGAAACATGGGAAAGATGTGGGGAGGGCCCAGAACTTGTTTTAGGGGGTGAGTCTCTTGTGTCAGTTGTCTCGCCCCAGAAAAACTTTCTGCCGGCAATTTCACTCCAAGCCTCCCTCAGGGCTAGAGCGATGGAGGGAAACACTCTCAGAATCCCAGTTGCAAACACTCAGCCCGTCTGATTGCACACATTTTCAAGATGTTCCCTACCCTTGCCACGGATCTCATGATATTGGACTGCGGTACGGTATTCGGGTAACTTTTGACCACTGCATCCGAGGTGTGCTAGTCCGGGGCATGGTGGACAATGGTATGGTACGGGTACAGTACTCGCACAACACTCGAGTACAAGTACTAGCACCCGAACACAGTACTCTACGAGTACTTGTACCGTGCTCTGCTTGCACACTGTGCCTACTGGTATGACATTTGAGCAGGGAAAGGAGAAAAAAGGTAAGGATACTGGTACCACTTTTAATACTGGTATACATGCCATGTCATAATCACACCATGGATCCAATAGTTCGGGACCCCATCGCCCGTGCTGTCTACCGGTACTCCCCTTTGCGGTTCGTCGTTCGGGTGAAAAAGATGACGATCAACGGGTAATGAGGTTGTCTTCTCCACAGAATTAGAGACAGACCGGACCACCGGTATGATGCCGCAGGATACGAATCACAATCTCCAACCCAATTCACTCCTTTTGCCACCAACTTAGCCCAGATTCCCGGCGGGGCCGCGACAGACCATCGTCCAGGTTAAATTCCGACGAGAGAAACACTTCACTCTGCCTTCGCCCAAGATCATAGCGATAGTCAGGGCACGCCGGCTGACCAGCGACAAATTGTCTACGGTGCTCCCTTCATATTATCTAGGTTCAGAGTAGCGTGTGTGCGCCCTAGCAACAGCATCTTTTAAAACTGTATTCTTGCTTCGTGTACCATATTGCTTCTGAGTTCTGATGGGAAAGTGTCTTGTGGTACCGGTAAGGTAAAAAAGTGAAACAGCAAAGTGCCATAGGTTAGGTTTTTTCTCTCTTGAATATCATAATAATAATATTATTACTTGTATCATACTACTGGTGCGAGCAGTCTGGCCCGTCATACCTATTTCTTGTGGTAAATTTATCAGTATGCTACGGTATTCTACCGGCAGACCTTTGTGAATTGTTGGTTGTGCTCATCACAAGTTCCAACCCACCTCCTCTGCATCTTTCTTTTCTTCTTCCTTTCCTTTTTCCCCCTCTTCCCATTCCTTCCCCCCTACAAGTACCAGCGCAAATGATCGGAATGTGGCAGCCTACCACCCCCCGCGAGAATGACGAGAGATTGCACGAGCAAATATAATAAGCATAAAAGAGGAGAAATAACACGCTCTTTTATCCACTTCATGAGTAAATGCTGCTCGGCTTTCAACGCGATACATACGGCACCACAGATCCATTACTCGCACCGCTGCACCGGCACGGTGCCATCCGGTCTGCTATCGGGTACACAAATTGCACAAGTTTGCTCGTTTTAAAAGGTCGCATCGCTGTGCGAGATACTGGTATATTTTAGCCCCGCGGAGCGCCTTGTTGACCAAAGTGTTTGGTGGCCGCGGAGGTACCATACCCTATAATTTTGTTGGATGAATGATTTTCTCACAAAACGCTTCACCACATCGTAGAGTACCGGTACCGGTACTTCTTTTCGGGCTCAAAGGCAAGAGTTGCTGAGTTGTTGACTGCGTGGATACATGTGATCTCAATTCGGTAAGTACTCGTACAACTGGTATCGTGCCGTGATGTACTGTACGCGCGAGCGGACATCTTCCCCTCACCCTCGTTCCTCGCTCTTCGTCGTACTGTAATTCGGTCGCAGCGAAGGCATTGAAGAAAGGGTTGCCTTGCTCTCGATGTTGCATTCATGAATGTTGAACCTTTCCTCCATCTTCCTATGATGCGTTTGATTCCCCTTTTCGGAAACTGTATTCTTGGCACATTATCTGAACCCTTTCTCTTAGTCGCGCCCAACCCGCACGTATCGCACCCCCGTTCACCTGCCTGTCTGCCTGCCTTCCTCTACCGGTATCGCAAGTTAGTCCGCAGGAGAGACAGACTGATTGGCTTTCCTGCTCTACCGCACCGGTGTTCCAGTTTCTCCTGTCCACTTGCTTTCCTGCTCTGGAACGAAACCTCTGTCAATTACAGCCTCAGTGCTCGTACCATACATCACCCATACGAGTAGCCAACTTTGAGTGCATACCGCATACAGCACCCATACATACGCATAGACTACAGATCCTATCCAACCTCTTGCTGGCATCCCCTTTCCCACCCACCACCCCTAAAAAAGCATCTCCTCCCCCTTTTTTCCACCCCCCCCCCCGCTCCAGCCGGCCTCGTCCCGTCACGAGAGCACACGAGACCTTCGTTGCCCTCCCTCGCTGTCCTGCGAACAGCACATGAGATCCCCTCCTTCCTTTCGTTCTCTTGCTCTTCAAGAAGGACAGTGAGGGGCAGTCGAAAAAGTGACGA